CCGGTACATTGCCGACCCGAGCCCCAGGGCTGACAATCATGAGATATGGGTCGGATCGGCGACCTCGCGACGGGAGAAGGAACGATTGCCATTGTTGTGTCCTGCACCGCCGATTCTCTATCTGCACCCGGGGGGGGGGGGGGGAAGCCGGGGGCACGTGCCCCCATCAGATCAGGGGTCCTCTCGGGCCCGAGGGGCCTTGCGACGCCAATTGGCGACTGAGGGTCCACGCTGGCATCTTTCGACTCAAAAGGGCTCCACAGGGCTCGGAAGAACACCTGATCACTTATGTGCTCCAAAGAGCCACACTTCTCTCCATAAGAGCCCCTCACCGGCTTTTTTAGTGTCCCTTGTCGGCCTTTGAGGGCCCCTTGCCGGCTTCTCAGGGCCTATTGGCGACCTCTGAGGGCTACTTGCCGGCTTCTGAGGGCCCTTACCGGCCTATCAGGGACCAGCAGCTCTAAGGGTTCCACACACGCCTGCGATGACCCCCTAAACCAATGGTTGAAGGCCCCCACAAACGGCGCCTGCGAGGGCCCTCACCGGCGGCTGTGAAGGCCCCAAACCGGTGCCTAGCTGAGGGCCCCACACTGCCACCTCTGAGTGCAACCGGCACCCCTGAATGAGGTCCCGAAACCAGTGCTTCTTAAGGCCATATATCGGCGGCTCTGGGGGCTCAACGCCGGAGCCTCTGACGGCCTCAGACGGGACCTGCGCATCGGACGGCCACTCACCGGTGACTTTGAGGGCCCCACACCGACGACTCTGAGGGCCCCACTGGCGTTCGAATGTACCTTGCTGGTCTCTAAGGACTCCACAGGGCTCCCGAAGGCACCGCAGACCTCTTGAGAGCCCCTTGTCGGTCTCTGAGAGCCCCTGTCGGCCTGTAAAGGGTTCGAGCCAGCAGCTCTAAGGGTCCCACACCCGACTGTGACGACTCCACACTGCAGTGTCTCTGAGGGCCCACAACGGCAGCTGTGAGGACCCTCACCGGCGCCTCTGAGGGCCCACAGCGGCACCTCTGGGGACCCCGCACCAATGCCTCTGAGAGCCTCACACCGGTACCTGTGAGGGCCCACAAAGGCCTCCAAAGGCTTTATAACCGGCGGCTCTGAGGGCCCTACACGGGTGATGATTTTGAGGGGCCTACCGAAGGCACCACACAATCCCTTAGTCTCGCTGAGCTTCTATCCCTATCCCATACCGGCTTCTATCCCAATTCCGGCTCAACTAATTAGCAGCCCCCCCCCCTCCATGGGTCAGCAGCGTCGCGCCGGTGCCGGGGGCCAGCGCCATCGGGGCGGCAGTCGGCCACGCGCACTCAATGGTTAGCGCTTAGCACCGCCCGGTGTGTTATCGGCCGTGAGCCGCTCCAAAACCGCTGCAGTAACTGGTCGATATAGGTAGTAAGCAGATGCAGAGATGCAGGTGGATTGATGACCGGCAAGCTTTTGTATTTTACGAGGGTGAAGGGTCGAAGTCGGCTGCTAAGTGGTGAGCGGATTTTATCAGATGCCGGTTCACCATGACCTTTGTCCGGGTCCTGGTACCCTGACGCACTCTTGGAGAGCCGAATCACAGCAAAAATCCATCCACGGCTGTATCTATACGGCTTACGCTTTTCTGAAAACGTCTGCGTTTGGCTTTCTACGGGCCCGGCCGGCCGGCCCAGATTGGCGGTCCACCAGTGACGTCACCGGTAGTGTTAAGCTGATTGGCGAATAATACATGGGAAGAACCGGGACGACATCCCCCTGGTTGTGGACCACCCATAGTCTACGGACATAGACCACAGCTTTGCCACGCCCACAGCTATTCCTTACGGCTATGAATGAACTTGTGGATTACGGCGGGGTTTCTTTCAGATTCCATGATGTTTAATTAACCCTCGCCGGCCGAAAGGGGGGGGGGGCTGTGACCTCAACTTGACAATATAGCTAATAGCCTTAATCAACTATTTAAGGCCACCAATGCGATACCCCGACCCCAGGCCCTCGATTAGGAGATCAAGGTCAAGTTAGAAGTCCAACGTCATTGTCCCCGATGGTCCTTCAGGCGAGGAACACAGACACCACTTAGAAAACGATCGGAAGAAAAATAGCCGGCCACTTATGCGGCATTCCATTTCCATCCCTTGACCCTCGATTGAGTCGATCGGGTCAAGACTCGTGGTCAATTTAGCGGTCACAGGTCAGCGATGGTCCTTTAGGCGAAGAACGCAGAAAGACCACTTAGACAGCGATCAGACAAAAATTAGGGCCACTTATGCGGTATCCCGATCCCGACCCCTAACTATCGATTAGGAAGTCAATGTCAAGTTAGAGGTCACCTAGGTCAGGGTCATCCCCGATGGTTATTTTGGCAAGGAACATAGAAACCAATAAAAAAACGATCAGAAGTAATCCAAGGCTACTTATATGCGGCAATCCGACCCTTGGCTCTCGATTAAAAGGACAATGCCAAGTTAGAGGTCACAGGTCAGGATCATCCCGATGGTTTTTAGGCGAGGAACACCGAACACATAGGTAGAGACTGCTTATAAAACGATCAGACAAAATGTAAAGCCCCTTATGCGGTACCCCAGCCCTTTAGGAAGTCAAGGTAAAGTTAGAGGTCACAGGCCAATGTCAAACTCGTTGGTCCTTGATGCGAGAGACACATACTCGTAGAGGCCACTTAGAAAACGATCAAAATTATGGTCACTTATGCGGTACTTGGACCTTTGACCTTCAAAACAGCGACGAAATCGGCACTTTCCCAGCAACTCGCTGTCCAAACGAAAATACCTATGCGTGAATATGATTCAAGTTTTACGCGCGTGTCGAATATTCCCTGCTGAATTTTCTACACTCGAGCCAATGATTACGGAGCGAGCGAAGCGAGCGTAGTCTTTCCTTATAGTCTTTTCCTTATGGCATGTAGGTAGGCACCCACCAGGCACTGCATATCCATGTGCCAGAGTTGGGGTGCTGCTGCACGTGCGCACGTGCAGGGGCCGATTCCAGATCTCGAGATCGGCTGGACCGATGGCGCTCAAATTTGGTACACGGTTAGGGACCAGTTAGTAGGGTGCCACATGCACAAGTCAGTTGGGACCCATATTGCACGTGCGCACATGCAGGGTGTCGCTTCCAGATCTCGAGAACGGCTGGGCCGATTGTGCTCAAATTTGGCACATCGCTAGAGACCGGTTAGTAAGGTGCCGTGCACAAGTTAGTTGGGGGTACCCCCTCGAAATTTCGCACGTGCAAGGCCCACCCTCTCGCTCGCTCCGTTAGTCGCCCCAAAAGGCGTTATACTGGTGATAATGCTTCATTACAGGTCTTCAACAAAGAAATCCTAGTTAAAATCCCGAATTTGGAATTTCTAGCTGAACTATGAATGAACATTTTAATCTTAGGTATGCCAAGGTGAATAGAATATATTCGGTATTTACCTCGAAGCTCTATCTCCAACAGGAACGAAATGGCGCGGATGGTGGCAACCCCCCCTCATGTGCGTTCTATAGGATGGGAAAATGGCATGTGCGGGCGAGGGTTAAATCCCGTATTTGGAATTTCTAGCTGAACTATGAATGAATATTTTAATCTTATGCCTAGGTGAATGGAATATATTTGAAATCCTTCCTGCTTTATATAGCTATCGAATGATACCGAATGAAGCCCTTATCCCGCGCCGCCACCGTTTTTGGTACACTCTCATCTTTTCCGCAAATGTGAAAATTTCAGACCCGGGTCGCCCAAGGTCAGGTTACCAGGTCACGTCAAGTGAAAGAAAACGTTCAAAGGCTCCCTGTAGCTACACCGACAGAACGATCGCTCTGAAACTTTCAGCGATTGATCTGGGTAACCGAGTATGTATAAAACGTGTATCTCGGAATTTTAATATCTGTGACATAGGGGCAGGTCAATTTTGCGACTTTATATAGTTAACGGGACACAATTAAAATGCGCGCCTCTTTTGGACGAATGTCGTTCTAAACACTCTCCACCATCGCTTTATAGGTGATAATGACACACTGAATCGGACAATGGAACCCGTGGCCCCTCTGTATGCCCCTGAGGTCATCTCAGGTCATGAAAAGCCACCAGCAGTTTTTCTACTTCAACCTTTGATAGATACGTGTTAGAACGGTAAAAACACCTCGGGTATGTTCAACTCGACGATACGTATCGACTGATATGCAGAATGACCCTTTCCGCTCATGCAATTACCTCGACCTGTCAAATTTTCAAAGTTACCTTTCAAGGTCAGCCAATAGGTAGTTCATTCGACGCATCTCGACGAGAGGAACACGATGCTGCAAAATAAATGTCGTTACTTTCCTGAGCCCAATGTTATTGTCGAAAAACATTTTTCGTAAAACGGCTATTTTTTAGGGTGTTTGTCCTCTGGAGGCTAAACGATTGAGTTGAGGTCAAATATGAGAAAATAGGTACTCAGAAAGGTCCGTGAAAGAGCTTTCGAATGCACTTTTCCGCGACGTTGTAGCTCTATTGGTTCCCGCGTTATGCGTCGGGAGTTTTGAAAGTCAGATGAAGTAGACAAAATTTGACCTTTGATGACCTCTGGTGACCTAATCTTTCACCTGACCTAAAATTGATTGACATAGTTCCGTCATTATTTTTGAAGCTTTTACAAATGCCGCTTACTGCGTGTCGCTACGTGGCCCAGGAGCCGAGTTAGCCGGGAGGGGCCTGAAAACGTCCCACCCCACCCCTCACCACGACACAGAAAACTCAGACCACCAGCACAGCGCGGGCTATTTTTATTGCTTACAAATGTTCAGTCATTAACTGACAATGAGCTTTGTATTATACCGACATTATCCTTAGTGTTTAGTGTTTACGGATATACATTTTCATGATACAGTAGGCATCAATATATTTATGATGCAAGTAGATATTATTATTACCTCATGTCATCATGATACATAACGCACACATACGTCAAACACCGATGCGTAGGAGCACCGTCCCGGTACAGGACGAGTGGTAGACATACAAATTAATACACCGTCGCATTGTTGAAGCGCCGCCGTTACAGACACTGCCGCGCGATCGGCGGCGCCGCTCGCCGGCGGAGCGGGGCCGCCGTCAGCTGGTGGTGCCGCTGCTGGTGCTGGTGCAGGTAGTCCTCCATCATCCTCTCGAACCTGCTGATCTCCTGCAGCGCCGCCGGGCTGATCTGGGAGCGCAGCGGGGAGCCGGTCCCTGCGGGCCGCTCCTGCGGCGCCGGCTCCTCCCACTCCGAGCCCGAGCGGCGCTGCCTCCTCCCCAGGTTACTGAAAAGGACGGCAAACGCTACTGAAAACAACAACGGCGCAGGTTTACTGAAAACTTCGGCTGGCAAGAAAGACACAGGCACAAACGTCAACGGATTTACTGCCGCACAAACATAATATAATTTCAAATTTTCTAGTCTCCAGCATTTATTTATATTTACGTTTGGGAAGAAATCTGCTGGTTAATTAATCGTCTAAGTACCAAGGAATTTTATCCTTAAAATGTCAGGTCACTAACAACTTTCTGACTACCCGCTTCTCTTCCCTACCAACGTCCTCCCGCACGACCCACACGTTTTCAATTTATACTCTGACCCCCACCACTGGGGCGCCGTTCAGCTCTGACCTGATGAAGCGCAGCGGTGTCCTCCGTCGCGTCAGAGACGGCGAGTGCAGTGAGCGCGGTCGGCGCAGTGTTACCGACTCGTCCCACTCTCCGGTGCCACCCTCGCCGGCGCCGGTAGGGGTGGTAGCTGCGGATCGGTGCCCGGCGGCCGCGTCTACCGCCAGGCTCGGGTCCACCACACCTAGAGGGGTGTGCGGATTGGGAGGGCAACGCGTCAGCGGATGGTGCACAGAATCACCGGGATATAGACGGTATTCGAGAGTGATTTTTTACATTTGCATAGGTATATTTTTTCGAGGGATAGAATATGGCAACAACTATAAAAATAATCTTATGCAGCGTATTCCATTGAGTGACCACAAGGGCCAGTTGATTTACAAACGAGCGGGTAACTCCATCGCTAAGTGCAGTTATGTCACCCGGTTTACCCTGTTCTCCGTACCGAGGTCCTGCATGGTCCTGAGCTGCTGGCGGCGCCGGCTGCGGATCTGGGTGACCGTGTCGCGCGCACACAGCTCGCTCTGACGAATGTGTGACTCGAGTGACTGCAGGCGCTGCTCCAGCTCACGCCGTTCGTCCGTGCTGAGGTCGCACGTGGCTGCCTCACTCAGAGTCTTTCCTACGGGGGACTGGGCCTGCACGGCAGGGAGTCACGGGTGGGGATTGGCCAAATAAGAAATGAAGAGGTCATATGAATTCGTGTCGTTTCTACTGAGGATTGGATATTTTTTATTAATCATCTTCGCCTGCATTATAGACGAAAGCGTAAAATAAAATGACAGTTTTACTGGAGACAGTCCTATACGCGTTCGATCGATGATGCATGGCAGATACGAGCCAATAACGCAATAGGACAAATGATCAGCTAAAAAGTGGAGATAACGACGGATTATAAATTCCGAAACACCCGATAACTATAAATAACCGATAACGATAAATTCCGAAATAACGTGCCCCGATAACCGACAAAAATTCATCCGTGTAGGTACTGTAGAAATAAAGTATTGGATAAAGTTTGGATGGAATATTGGATATCATAACGCAATGTTTTAGCGGAGCTAACCTTGAGTGCGGCGGACATTTTTCGCTGTCGCAGCTGCACCTGCTGTCGGTAGGCCTCCATCTGCACCTGGCGTTCCTCTCGATCAGCGGCGTTCAGTACCTCAGCCGTGGTCATGGTCCAGCCCTGACGGCAAATAAGGCATCACGGCAGGCAAATTTCAGTGGCATCAGCATGAGACTGCCCAATGGCCAATGCCCTTAGAACTCTGTGGACTGGTTTCGGCAGGTATGCAGAGATCAAAGAGCCAAAGGCAGAGGTAAAGGCATTTTATTACAAAAAGTTTCGTTTCATTAAGTGGCTTAGATAATGACGCCTATCAGTCGGGCATTTTATTGTCCGGCTTCGTGACATGAGTGACCCTACGTGAGAAGGGTGAACGTTTAACACATACCCCGCTGTTTTTGTGTCGCTGCTTGTTCTGCAGCAGCTCCTTGGTCTGGAGCACCTCCTCCAGCAGCTGCTGGCGGCTGGTGGCTGGCTGTGACGTCATCTCATCCTCCAGCTCCTCGGCTATCTCCAGGTTCAGGCCCTCCAGGCTGAGCCAGTGTGGTTCGGCCGACGTCCGCTGGGCGGCGCCCCAGTCGCGGCTCCGCAGCCCACTGAGTCCGGTAGTGTCTGAGGCAGTCTGCCGGCAAAAGGGAATATCAGTCTGTGGTTGCCGTCCCGTATCCAGGCGTGGTCTGTGTGTTGGACATCGAAATGGTTCAAATGGATGCCTGATCCGAGCTCGTGCTCAATGCTAAAAGTTCATTTTTTTCTGTAGGATCGGGCAATGACCTCACTTGACACTTCTCAGACAAACATTCCAATGAACCCTGACGTCCTCTTAAGGGCAATCTTCTGAATGGTAAATTGAACGAATGGATTGTCGATAACAGGGTGAGTCAACTCTAAACATGTTGTCCTGACCTTCACCGTCCGATCAAGATATTTCGGATCATCGGCAGGATTTAAAAGCCAAAGTTTAGCGTGACCACATAGCCGTCGCGATCCACATCACACTATGATGCGGGTGCTCCCACCGACCGCAGAAAATTGCCGTCAATAGTTCCCATGTTTTAAACCAAGCACTGCAATCGAACCAGGATGCTGCTCTACACAGGTAATTCGATACTCCATTACCTGAAGTATAGGGAACTGAAAAATGATAGGTACATTCGCGGTAAAACAAGCATAAATATTACACCACCACCCATTAAACAAACACGCAGGAGTAATCACTGCCTAAAGCACAATTGGTCTTGCGGCTGGCCGCCAGAGATAGGAGAAAGTCGCGAGCCTTTTTCTTTCCTATAAAGATAACTGCGAGGCTTACTCTGTTCCTTGCCGAGGAGAATTCAGCCATGCTCGCGGTTCTCCTAAGACGTCCACCCCTGGAGAAGGGCCGGTGCCTCTTCATGAAACGGTCCAGCCGGGAAAACATCGTTGGTCTCTGACCTGACCCAGATCAACTCTGAGGTATAACGCACTGATCACACCCTCATCACGGTCACCTCACTCCAGTGGATCACGAGGATCCAGAACGCCACTCTGTGTGTTCACGATTCGCTATGCAGCTGTCTACCCTATCAAATCATTCGGTTCAACTTGCTGCACTTCTGTCAGCACAAGTTCGCCCGTTGCCACCGACCACTCTGCCTCTCCGTTCAGTCTGCTGACAGCTCCACTACTACTTCCTTGTCCCTATTGCAACTGTGCGTTGTGCAGCGAGTGCCACCCTGCCTATCTACGAGTAGCACTGATTACCACGCCAGCCAGCAGTCGATCACACCTCAATAAAACACAGCTGAAACGCAATCTCAGACCAAAGTTGCGCGCACACGCTCGACAAAAGCCTCCAATATTTTGGTCAGACTAAGCGCGACGCTCCTACATCCTCCCCGTCGATAGCACCTCAGGCACTGATTAGAAGTCACTAGAGGGCGAGCGATACGACAAGATGCTCTACTCGAGGGTACGTTATCAGCAACGAGGTCGGTCGCAATCATATCGACCGCAATCATAGTCTGTAGTCCGTCCTAGCGCTGTGTGCTACAGCGAGTAGCGCGGAGATTAGGGGGGGGGGGGGGAGGGAGGATGGGTGATAACGCCCGTGGGGTGTGCACTGTGCAATGACTTCCATACTAAGCCATACCACCTGATTGTAAGCGATTAGATTGTATGTCTTCGATTGTAAGTGCAGTGATTGATTAAACATCCGGGGCACAGTATGTATGTATTTGTATGTATGTATTTATAGTAGGTATCCACGGTCGTGTTTTCTGTGTTTTAATCAGGGTGAGTGTGAGTCGTCTAATCGACCAACGTTTCACGAACGTTCAAGTAAATAGAATGGAAAAATAAATGAAACATGGAAAAATAAAAATTCCTGATGGCTGCACAGCAGAGTACTTCTTCCTGACTAGTCACTAGCCTGTCACTTACCTGTCAATCACCAGTCACTCGCCCGTCCACCTGTCTTTCTCCGAGTCCGACTGCAGACTAACGAGAACAGACGGACGGACACGTCCAAACGACAGGACAATAGTTTACACGGCCGACTGACACGGACACGGACTGCCGCAAACAGTGTACCAAACACACAGCGCGCGCCACTTCAGATGATTGCTCTCTCTCTCTCTCTCTCTCTCTCTCTCTCTCTCTCTCTCTCTCTCTCTCTCTCTCTCTCTCTCTCTCTCTCTCTCTCTCTCTCTCTCTCTCTCTCTCTCTCGCTAGGCATCTATTTACCATATAGCTACCTTTCGCTCCGCAAGTGCCTATCTTTAAATATAGCAAGCTGTAATTTTAGGCAAATGCCTAGCGGTCACTTTTTCCTACCTAGGCCAGTAACATCTGCAACACCAAACACTTATAATGGGAGTACTTGGAAACCACGATAGTTCACGTCTACGCGTAGGTATATTTTAGTTCCAATTCCAAGTTCTATGATACCTACGTTGCCGACGGCAAATGGAATTTCCAGGACTTTCTCCCGCCCGCCTATCACTCTGTAGCAGTGTACGTTTTTCCTACCATGTGACAGCCAATGTGTCACCATGCATCTCGGCCGTCGGACGGGACCGCGGCCAGCCATAAGACCACTGACCTGGCGAAGCCATGGCAAGTGGATGACGACATGTATGTATGGCGCCATAGCCCGTCACAAGCATAGTCACATGGCTTCGCCACAACCCCACTGGCGCCTGGTGAGCGCAGATATATGTAGGACAGCTGCAGGCCAGCAATTCGAATATGCAGGCAGGGGGAGATGAACAGGAACACACACTGGTCCGGAACAGATCAAGTTGAGTGTTCGTATCCTTAAATCGTTTATCAGAGGCTACAAATTTACGTATCGGCTGAAAATATGTATTTGTGCTACCTTCGGTGCGGCACCCGATTATTGTTAGCAGTCATGTGTTTGTAAATTAGGTAACATGTTTATCAACAAGCGATCGGGAGGGCCGGGCGGTCTCTCAAAACACGGCCTGTGAAAGCACACCGCGCCGAATACAAGGGTACACTGTTGGCGGTCATTAGCACGTGATGGATGGTGACCTACAGGTAAATGCTTTATAGTGACGTTACCAAAACGCCTACGCCTGCTTACAGGTGAAGCACGCTTCCAATATCATTTCCAACATATAATCTTGGTGCGGATTATGTTCAGTGAGACCCACCACATAGTGTGACGAGGGCTGTTTCTGATCGTCACTAGCCTGACTCATGACTGTTAATCCATATTTATCATTGGAACGGGCTAGTGAATTGTGTGTATGTTCTACTGAGCACTGACCTGGCTGAGGGGCCGTACCTTGAGTCTCGGCCGGCCCTTTCCTCTGAGCAAACCGCCGCTGGTCTCCATGGTGAGGGAGTCGGCACGTTTGTGCACCCAGCGGAGCCAGCCTGTCTCCCGGGTCCAGCTGGAACGGCTGAGCATGGAAGTGGACACGGTTAACGGTGATGACAGAAAACTGTCGCAGCACCTGCTCACAGCTGGGGACAAAGTGGGTACGCGGACACCGCGCCGGGGCTGAAGACGGACCGATACATGTGATCGTTTCCATCCACTGCGCGTGACCGAGTATTTACTCGTCCCTAAAGTCGCTGACCACTCAGTAACTTTTCAGTGACCGGTGAAGAAGACACGATTATTTCAGTGGCTGGAACGAGTAAAGACACACGCCAGCACCGCGCTGGAAAGGTCTCCCCGCCGCCGTCTCTGCACTCACATGTAGGTTGAATGGACCAAGAGGCCTGCTGCACTGCTACAGCACCACAGACCGACGTCTGGCAAACACTATACGGTGGGTTTCGTGTGGCTATCGGCGCGAACTGCCTGCTGTTTGTGTCTGACGTTAGCTTTCGTTATCGTGACGGATTAACACACCCAAGGATATATCCGGGGCACAATACGTAGGTCTCTAAGGAATGCAATTCATTGTTCTGACGGACGGGGTCTGAATGGTTTATTTCATGGAAACACGCATTGATGAGCGGTATAAGCTAGCGTAACTAACGGAGCCATACACACTATGCAATAAACGATGAGAGCAAACGATATAGCGTGGGATCTATAGGTACAGGAAAATTATAGGTTCTGGCAATGCATTCAAGACGGGTAAGGCTGATCAACATGGCTTAAGAAAACCGCTTATATGAGCCGAGCCGCATAGGCTGGGACCATCGAAACCTTAGGTGTTTTTAATAACCATTTGGGCATGAATCAGGCATGCATGAAAGATGATATTTCTGAATTCCGATAAAGTGCCTATTTCAGAATATCCTAGGCTATCGGACATACGGCGCCCAGCTGTAGGGTGCACCTCATTTATTCTTCTCTCTCACTGCACTCTCTCACCGATCCGTCCCATTCCGCTCCCCAGGCCCGTCCTCACTTCCCCCTCCCCCCCCCCCCCCCCACACACACACACAACCCAGAGCAGTCCCCGTCTCCGATGTCAGTCACGTGATCTTCTGTTGCCTCAGGGCAGCGCAGCGCCTGGGGAATTCGAGATTGAGATGCAGTCAGATCCTGCGCTGGGAAGGAGCGGGCGTGGCAGACAGTGGTGCGTGCGGTCGAGCGTCAAGAATGTCAATTTATTTGTTACAGTGTTAAGGTGAAGGATGAGGCCAAGTGAAGTGGTTACTGGTGAACCACAACAGCAAGAAAGCTTTTTCCAATGTCTACCGATATCTGGATTTCATGCAGGTGAGTACAGGAGGTACTGACATTTTTGTGGGGCGATTTTTATTTGGCTGGTGTCAGGTGTGTTACCCATGAGCCCTTTCGGCTTATTGATACCTTTTTAGGTGCATGGTACAATGCAGGATAAGAGGATATATTAGGGAGAGTCAACCATAAAGAAATCCGCCACCGAACGCCGCGGCAGCTCAGCCCGTCTGGGCTGTCGCCTGTCTGTTGGAACGGGAGTGGCCCCGGGGGAGGCCACACTCCACAGAGACGCTCAAACGGTTGCAGTCATGGGTCACCACGAAGGGGACAAGAAAAAAAATGGGTGAAGTAGCATCTTCTTTCATATTTCATCCAATCTGGCGTAGCTTGACGAGATGCAACAATTAAATCGGCTTCAAAATGCTAAGGCTGCGTTTCTTATCGGAGAATTTCTTGCTGTTTATGAGTGATAGCCCAAAACAATTATTTTTACACTGCGGCCCGTCCTTATCCTTGTGACCTAGTTATTTTGTCAGCGAGTCTCTCTCGGTCAATTGTGACGTCATCCTACGAAGGTCACAGGAAGTCATTGGTTCCCATAGCTCACTCACTTACACGCTAACCGCGCCGTCGACGGTCAGTCGCTCGGTTCTCACAGCTCTCTCACCACCTCTGTCCGCTGTAAGTTGTTCGGCTCTCACCGCCTGCTCACTCTTGGCTGATCGAAATCGAATATGACGGGTATACATAGGCCCGATCCCACATCCCTCCTTTGCTACCAAGCGTCCAACCTTGCTCACAATCCCCACGGTGAGTCCCCGGATCTCACTACTTTCTCACAAATGTCTGTCCACACTCAACAATGAATCGCCCCATTCTCACCACCCTCTCACCTGCGCTGGCCGTCGTCCACGGTGAGTCGATTGGTGAGCGCCACCATGAGCACAGGGTCGCGCTCTATGAGACTGGTGCAGATGGACCCGGCCCGGCCCCGCGCCGGGTCAGGTGGCGGAGGTCGCACCAGGTCACTGGTCGAACACGAGGCCAGTCGATGACCTTTGGAGGATCGACGCATCGCTCCGAAAGACGAGAGCTGCGGAAGAAGATGTTGGTGATGTCGGAAACGTCTGTGATGTTCAATGGGGTAGCTGAAAGTAGTTCACAGGTGACTTTGTTGTACGTATGTACAATCTGTGGTTAATTTTACGTGTCTTTTTTACGTGTGTTTAGAAAATTGGATGATGAAGTGCACAACATACCTAAGTCAAAAAGCGCAATTCGTTCAACGTGGTTGAAAAATCAGCGAAGCTGCTAAGAAAGGTATTTAAAAACAGAAGCTAATTCAACTTACATTTTCCTTTACTTTTTAAGTCTGGAATCTGGATTGTGGCTCAGCGATTCACCGAATGGATTTATATGCAGCAGCCTCTACCATACGTGTCAGCTACTTGATTATTTGACAGAACTAGCTGCTATAAGATCAATTAATCATCTTTTAATAGATGCTTGTGCGACGTTAGAATGCGCAGTGAATTGCTTGATCGGAGGCACATTTTTACGTCATCAAGCACAACTGGTTTTGCATCGAATCACTTCTTTTACTAAAGCATCGGGTATTGTCGCCGCTACCAAAAGGCCCTGATACAATCATTACCTGTTTTGTCAATTATTTCGCCATGTAAAGAACACTTTTTAGTGTTAACTGTTGCACCCAGCGAGGTT